ACTTAATTTGACTCAATTTTTGTTATTTCAATAATCTTACAAAGTAAATTTTTTTACTCCATTGGCATAAATCTTTTGCTTAATTTGAGTGAAATTTTCAGGCTAGCAAGATAAATAATCTTACACATTCTGAAAACAGGATTGTTAATCTTACACATTCAGTTCTTGTTTAGTAAATCAGTATCAAAACAAGATCAAAAAGACTGACTGGATATAGGAAATTAAAACTTGGTTAGATGGACAGTTGTGTAATAGGGCGGGGCGATATTTGAAAAATAWATCACAGTATAAATGTTTTGTATCAGTCAATCAATTGATTTATTTATTTTTTTGTACTATTTGAAATGAGGACTAGGAGAAAAACATGGCTGATTAATTCTCCCACACTGGTGACGTGACCTTTCCTCTTTTATCCACGATTTCCTCTCGACCTGTTGCACTCATTTTCTCTGTTCACTCCACATCATTTTTATTTTGCAGCATTTCTGAGGCACGGTAGTGAAACTTGAAACTGCTGCTGCACATGTTACTCAACAGGTTGTTCCTAGCTTAACAAAGTATGAGCGAGTTGTTACCATCCTTGTTTAGTTGGGTTTTAGTCAGCTAAGCATGTGTTGTTGATTTCCAGTCTTTAACTTACTGTACTGTCTAACTATATAAAATTCAGAAATCTTCAAGYAGTGTAGGGCTGACCACAATAATTTTATGAAGCCAGAGGAAGAGACATACCAAAAAAAAATGTGCTGGTGTGGATAGAGGAGGTGGATAGAGATTTTGTGTGTTGTCGCAATCTGGTTCTGGTCTCCTGTAATTGGTTTCCCTACATGTAATTGACCGTGGCACACCACCACGGCAAAATAAAAGCTGCCACACCTTCAGAATGAAGTTTTTAAATTTTTTTATCAATGTAAAACAGGGGTTAACACAACCATTGTTTAGGTCCGAGACAACCTATTTTCGTTTCGGACAACCAGATCCCACCTCCCGTTTGTCTAGTGGACAACCAAGAAAAAAACACCTTGATTAAAGTTTTCCTCCGCGGATGTTCGTCATTGTAAAAGTGAACAAGAGAAAAAAAAAACTTGTTAAAGCCATCTAGGGATTAAACTGACAGTTCTTTCACCCAATAAAGAGAACCAGAGTCAAAGTTTTATCCAATCAGAACAGAGCAGGACGGGTCGTGCTGTCTGACTGACAGCGCTGTGGGTGGGGATCAGCATCCCTCAGCTCAGGTGAACACCTCCCGGGGAAGCTCTCAGCGTTTCCTGACTATTTTCCACCGAGGATTACGTCGTATTTTATATATATTATATTTCTAAAAGCACCTCTCAGCATTTGTCCTGTAAAGCTGTGTGTTCACGAGCACAACAAAACCGTGACATATCAGCTGACTGGTTTCAAAGCAAGGGCTGAGAGGCAGTTTGACCGCAGCTGCTGCACCTGTCCATGCACAGCGCAGCTCTGACCAGCCCTGGACTCGAGTCCACATGTCAACCCCTTCAGATATTTACCTGTATAATGAGCATCAAAAATCTGTAATTTGCGCAAAAAAAATCAGTATTAATCACACGCGGGTGGGGTAGAGGTGCAGGAGGACCGCAGCCACGTGGGGTCGGGAGGAAGATGGGTGGCGTCTTTTGAAGACGTGTCTACATTTGACTTTCATTTTTTTCTAAAATCAGAGTTCTCTGACTCAGCTTCAGATGTTTGTAGTTAATCATAAATATCTCTTAAATTTAACCAGGTGCCTTTAAATTACACAATAATTTTACTGGAGAAACTTGTCGGTTTGGTTTAAAAAAACAGTAAAAATAATTTTTTCTGTGCAGAGAACTTCCTCTGCTATAATTTATTTAAAATAAATATATCAAAACTCCTCAGCTGAAAACACTAAAATGATAGAAAATATGTTTAAAAACCTCTTTCCTCAAAATCTTCAGTCCTAAGAACACTAAACTGTAACTTTTAATAAGGTCATGTACACAGTGTACTCCTATTTAAATAAAAATGTTTGACCTGTAAGCAGAAAGCTTATGGATGCTGGATGTTGTGTTTTGTCTATTTTGAAGAAGAGAACGAGGAAGTTTGGTTTCTGATGAGCTTGATGATGTGACTGGGCTTTGGAAAGTTTAATTAAAAAAAAATGCTTTAAAGAAAATGTCCTGTAGCCTGTGATGGCTTTTAATCTGAGGTAAAAGTTTTCATCAGATGTAAATTAAAATAAATTTATTTACAAGGTAACATTCTTGAATGGTAAAATTAYACTAGAAAACTGTAGCTCAGTGTTTGACCTACAGTAGTTTTGTTAGCCGTGTACACGAAAATACGCTGATTTCCAAAACTTTTCATTGAGAATGAGTTAATTTGTACTATTGAAGGATTTCTTTTGGATCTTATATTAACCTGAAAAGCAGAGTTTAGTTTGTCATCTTTACAGCCGAGGACTGAAAAGTAACTTGAAAGTAAAACTTTAGTTGCTGAACCAGACCAGATGTAGATTTGTAAAGTAACAGATTTGTATGTGAAAAAAATGTGTGCACAATCATTTGTACATCWGAACTGCGTCAGGAGAACAGTCTTATCTAATTTACTGTCACTGATGAACTGATGTGGCAGCAGAACAGTTGCTTGTCATTTTTAATTAACAATGGGTCAAAGAGCTGATTTAGGGATTTTCTACATGTGTAAGCCAATTAGATATTTGAGTTTTGGTTTTATGTGATTTGTCTTTTTGTTAGCAGAAAAAGCTTTTTTTTTTTTTTTGACAAATTTACTCAAGTTGTTTTAAAAAGGTTGTTTCTGTTGTATTTCTCTTTATCCAGTCTTTGCACTTTTGAGTCTTAATGTATTTTCTTTCCTTTTACCTTGTTTTTGCAGGGCAGAGCCTAGGATACGGGTTTGTGAACTACGTGGACCCGAAAGATGCAGAAAAGGCAATCAACACTTTAAATGGCTTGAGACTTCAGACCAAAACCATCAAGGTAAAAATGCAGTTTTATAAGACTCACCAGGTTGAAATATAATGATGCTGCTGAGCAATGTGGGGTGGAAGAGAGAGCTTATTGTTAATTTGGGCACAGAGGTATTTTATTTTATTTTTTTTTTGGTTCTCAAGTAGAGCAGAACTGTTTCTATGGTTTCGTGTGCTCTAGCTGTGCTGTATGCCTTTACAGGGAGGTGGCTGCCATTAGCATTCATCAGGCGATGTAGCACTCAATGTGCTGGTGGAAAAACTCATTTGCTTCATGTCGCGCTGCAGTATTGTGGCTGCTAGACTTAAAGTTTTAAATGGAATTTTTCGCCACTTTTCCACAAGATGGACTAAAAACTTTCTGTAAACAGAACCCATTTGAGTATGRCCAGAAATGTGAGACGTCTTATTCGTTCCTCTTTCTGCTGTTTTAACATTCAGATATTGTGCAGATGTGGCAAGTTGTGAGCCGCGTTGCTTCATTTCCATGAGTCAAACGGGGCACATCGTTCCCTCAGTTCATGCCCCTGAAACTAGGACAGGGTAACGTTTCTTTGTGTCGCACATCTAAAGTTCCCTCGCTGCTCTCTGAAGTGCAAATAAACTGTAGTGAGCAAGAGCCGTACACTTTGCACATATTAGCATCAAATATAGTGTGAAGGTGAGACTGTGGAAAAGGCAGAGGTGATGGGACACAGTTTTCTGGATGTAAACACAAACCTTCAGCTCATTTTGACTTCAGGGTGTGTACACATCAGGTTGGTTATAAAACTGACTTCTTTCTGATCTGAAGACATAAAAAGAAAACTTTGAAAAGCTGAAGGTTAAGGCGCATCCAGCTGCAGCCATTAGATGGTTTACCTACACTTTGATTTCTGTTAACTCCTCCACAAAATCTTCCTCAAACGCTTCTTACCACACGAGCTCCGAAATTTAGGCCGTATTGATTCCCTGCTTATCGGATTAATGTCTGCATGACTGAGAATGGAGCTGTGCGCTGAGGAAAAATGCATCTGACTACTCAGGGGTGTAATGATGTATTGATCCACAATACATTTTTGCTTTTCTATTAGTCTGTTTATGGATAAATGTGTTTTTGCTGCATTCTTATCTCACCTGCTGCCGGGAGAAGCGCCCAGTAAGACCTGACTTTAACGACAAGAGTAGATAAGATTAGTTTTAATAGGCAGCCAAACTCTACTGGTGGTTATATTTAATTCTGGGAGCTGTCTAGACAGACCTGATGCTGCAACTTTATTTTATTTTTTGTAAATGTCTTATCAGATTAACCAAGTATTTCAGAAGTATTTTTCTGTATTTAAAMCTTTTTAAAAGTGTATAATCCTAACAAAATTGCACTCAGTTTTTGATTGGCTTTCGTGTAATATAACAAGTTTCATTATTTTTCAGGGTTCATGCAGGGTCTTAAAGGGGCAATATTATGTGTTTCTCAGGCATACATTAAAATGCTATACCATAATAAAGTATCTGTCACCTTTAGTTGTTATCAAAATGCTGTTTTATGTTTAAATAGAAAATAAACTTATCTTCTCATCACTTCCTCTTCCAAATGTCTTGAAATTGGCCTGTCTCTTTAAGAACCACCTTCCACTTCTGTCTCGCCCATTTCAGTGCAGAGGGGTTGCTCTCGCGAGGGGGTGGGGGCTCTGCTATGATGCAGTTTACTTGGCATCTGAAAATACATTTCCTCAAATATTTTAATCAGAAAAGAGCTTCACTGAGTGAAAACTAATGTTAAGAGCTCAGCGGACAGTTAAGTTTCACTTTCACCGAGAGCCTACAGGAGTCATGGGCGGGGTGTGGG